ACTATTTGGCTTTGGCTTAAAGCACCCGGCCTTTATATATTTAATACAGCCTGAGTGCAAGGATATCAGCTTTTTTTCTATCTATCTATATATATATATACTTAGATCATATATCTAATAAATATATATTTGATCTAAGTATATATCAGTTAGTTTTAAATGTTTTATTATTTTTTTTCAGGCAGCAGGGGGAGTACCTGTCATTACAGGCACTCCCCCTGCTGGCATTGCCTTGGACGGCTATGCCGTCCATGTGATTGCGAGGTCGCAAGGACCTCGCGATCACATGGCTCAAGGGGGCCAAAACAGATGGAGGGTGACCGGGTAAGTAGAAAGGACGGCGGGGACGTGCTATGCCACCCCCGGCGTTTAGAGACAGGTCTCTAAGGACGGCATAGCACGCCCGCCGTCCTTAAGGGGTTAAAGAAACACTTCAATGGTCAAAAACTATAAATAAGAAATCACTATTTCATGGATATATCTCCAATGAAAATATGCCTGCATTTTTTTCACTGGGGGTATATCTAAAAACAGCTTGTAAAAACTGAAAATCTCTTGGCTCATTGAGCAGCCTCTAAATTTAAAAGTCCCTTGTGGCTCAAAATCAATTTAACAAGCTGGTCAGGCAAGCCAGGGAATCCACGGCTATGGGGAGAATGCTGGCACGCTCTAGTAGAGGATGCCTCCCACTTTCGTTGGAAGGAGAAGATAACTCGCAGCTGTCTGAGGCGTTTCCTCAATTATTTAGAAAAGTGCAAATTTCAAATAGAAATCAGCACATTTATAAACTGCCAATAAAAGCTGAAGTGCTTTGTGTGTGAAGAGTCCCTTTAAATATTATTGTGGCAAAAAACCCAACCTGTGTCATTTTTTTTTTTTGTACCTGGGCACTTTCCTTGGTTTGTTTCTTTATACATTTTTACAAAAAACATTATAGTGGATGTGAGAAAATCAGCCTTTTATAACTTAGTTCGTCCAACATTTCAGATTTTTGTTTATATTCTGTTTGGTAGTTCTCAAACTACCGAACAACCGACCACCCCTTTGACTCATTATTACTATAGCCGAAAGCCACGTGGAAGAGAAAAAGGCGGCCATCTTGTTTGCACGAAAGGAGGCAGCGGGACTTGGTCTTCAAGTGTCTGGAACTAAAATCGGACACTCGACTTCCGGAAACACCGGTCAAACTGACGAATGCCTGCTTCCTTTTCCCGAACAGCTAGGAGAGCGCTGTTCAGTAGTTTGGTTCCCACGAACTAGGGGAACAATCGCTGCTATGAGCCAGAGGGATCCATTTGTGTCTTTGTTCGGTTTTATGACTTAACGAAATAGACCGACCGCACAGCCTAAACTCATGGAACTGTTCTGGGCAGAAGCCTCGCGTGAAATTCAAAAACCCCTGAACCGATCTGGGTGATTTTTGGATATGTTGGTCACCCAGATCAGGGCTATCAGGGGCTGTGACATTTGTGGGGGTCCTGTATGTTTTGGGGTGTTTTCCAGATATTGTGAAAATTGTGAACATTGTGTCCCAGAGATAATTAAGTTATTACTTTATCTGACCCAATTATCTCCAGGCAGAGAGAGGATTAACTGTTTGTACTGGGAGTGTCAGTGTTTTGCTCTTGGTACCTGATTAATGCTTTGGGGAAATTCAGCTTGAGCACTTCATCTACTCTGGAATAATAGATGAACGGAGATCCAAACGGCGAGCTATAATCACTCTTGCTCTTAGCCGTTCGGGTAAAAACTGACGAACACCTAGCTACCACTTCAGGGTTCGTTACAGTGGATGCTAAATATATTATAGTAACTGCCCAAGAATGATGGGAGTTTGTGCACAGAATTAATATATCATTGATTTCTCTGGCATGTCATTACCTTCCTACAGTGCAGTCGACTACCACATGTGATCCCTATTTATTTTAATTTGTTTGCGGGTGAGGGGTGAGAATTAACACTTCTGCGGCATGAGGAAGTTTCCTTCTAAGCTGAAAGCAGACTTGAAATTGTCAGGTGAGCTTACACTTTAGTCTTAAAAACTTCTGTTATTTAAATTAACGCTATAGACACCAACACTACTTAAGCGTAATAAAGCAGTTTGGGTGTATAGATCATGCCTCTGCAGTCTCACTGCTAAATTCTCTACTATTCAGTAGTTCTACACTAAAACTGCTTCATTAACCTAAAATAGTTTAGATGACTATAGTATACCTTTAAGTGTATATTGAGGTTTGGGATAATGAGTAGTTAAGTTGTTTTTGTCTTGGATAGTAGAAACAAAGTGTATGATAAAGCAAAGCTTTATTGCGACAATACTTCTACTGCACAGAACATACTTTTTTTTTTTGTTTCTGAAAAGTTGTGTTGTAGTGATTTTGTATATAAAACACATGGTGTGACAGTACAATGTAAATAGTAACCGCAAAACAAAAATGAAAATAACCCGTATAACAATGTACATACGTGACAATCCTAAATCCATTGAGGTCACGCAGGACCCAATGATATGAACCGCCATATGTAGTACATAACATGCTCTATGTACAGATCAAACGGGAAAAGGGGAAAGTGTAAACCAGGTGGGGAGGGGAACCATATAGAAATGTAATGGTCGTTCTACTTTATGAATTGTAAGTTGTGAAAGTACCAAAGCATAGTTGAACCAATATCCCATATATATTCAAAAGAGGCCATGTTTAGTGGTGGGGAGCAAAAGACTTTGGAGAAAGGTCTATTTATTAATATTATTATAATAGTAGTAGGAGTAGTAGTATTTATATATTGCGACCACTATATTCCACCGCTTCTTTCACCACGCTATACATTAAAAGGGGAATTTAACAAAGGAGACAATAATTAAATATTACAGGAACATTAGGTTTATGAGGACCCTGCTCAAATGGGCTTAAAGTCTAGAGGAGGTGGGGGCATAGAACACAATAGGACATATGTAGATCAAAATGAATAGAGAAAGACAAGAACAGCCTAGCTATGTGAAGAGGAAGGAAAAAAAAGGAAAAATCTCAATCGACAAAATAAATAAATAATATATATATATTTCTCCATGTATTTCATTAAGTGGAACCAATAGCAGAACTCTGTATGCCCTCTGTAGAGGTTACATAGGGTGGTGTCTGTTCTAAAGGAATGGATATTCTTGCCCCAGACTGATGCCATTAAACTCAATGACAAAGATGGGCCTGTTTTTATTTTTTTCTGAGACAGTGGAAACATTTAAAATACTTTTATATACTCACTTTTGTTCTTGTTTTTTTTTCTTCTTTTAAGCACATCTGTTTTTTATCTTTTTTTTTTTTGTTGTTGTTGTGTTGAGTTAGCCGAATTTCATACCCTGTGAGGACTGCAACATTTCTTAGGGAGTCTAACCCTAAAATTCTTTATTTCTAACCGTGAATTTCTCGTTCTCTTCGCTATAAACATTTACATGTTTACATTTGATGACAGACGTGCACAGTTACACAATTATCTGCTTATAGAAACCATTTCAAAGGATGACTTTGTAATACTCCAAAAAAGGCATACTATATATACAATGGAAACTTGATATGCATTTTCTTTATTAATGTAATTGCATTTGTATTCTTTAGTTAAGAAACAAATATTTATTTTATACGTATATTTATATGTGTGTATGTGTGTTTGTGTATGTATATTTATGTATATATCAATATTTATGTATATACATGGAGTTTTTTATTTTTTTATAACCCTTTGAGTTCTAGAGGTAGTGGCTGTTACACTCCCAAATTTATTAGAGAGTCAATAAATGGCATTTTAAGATTTAGAGAAACCTGACTTCCTTAAGTCATATGGGGATAACAGCAAGCATTTGTTGCAGTTAGTGATGTCTCTTCTGTTTTGTTGCCAAGTATGAATACATTTTTTGTTATTTTTAAAAGGTCACAAAGTACTCTGACATCTTCGTAACAAGTAGTAACTGTTGCAAGTGCTCACCTGGGAGTGAATAAGTATAATTACAACCAGAATGAGTCCATCAATCACCAAACAACAAAGGCCGGGAGAACAGCTGCCCACAAACTGCCCATAAGTCCTGGTGCAACGACCCATAAAAAAAGGCCTTGCCCTATCCTGGGCCCCTTGAGATTGGACGAATATGGCAATATGATGCTTCAGTGACACTCTGTAACTCTCTCTATGAAATCTGTGTACTTACGGACACACCAGTACCTAGTTTGGAGAGGACAAGTTGACACTAGTCACAGCAAGGTGTGTTAGAATTATAGCTATATTTGGGACTCTGCGGACGATTTACTGTTTTAAGTGGTATAAAACAAATGCAATTTCCTTGTTTAAAGTTCACGGTAGCTGTATACATTCGTTTGAAAGTAGAAGTCCTGCGCTCATACTCCCATCACTCCTGGACAGCAGAAACGACCATAGTACACATCAGCCCCAAAACATTCAGTAAAAAACAAAGAAAAAAGTTACCTGCGCTTTTCCCAAATTCCTATGCATATTTAAACCAATAGAGGTTATTTAGTTTCTCCAATGGTCATTAGAGACTTTAGCCCACCTGCCACGTCAAGGCAAACCTCTTAGGTGGGTCCTATACCTTTTTGTATCACATAGCTGTGTTACAATACTGCCACCCATCCCATGTGTTCCTTTTTAGGGGTTAATAAGCTTGTAGGGGTGTATATATAAAAAAATAAATAAATAAATAAATGAATACCCCTTTCTGTCTTATTAGAAAGATCTTTGCCAGAAGCTCAAGGAAGCAAGGTGAAAGGTTAGTGTAGGACCCACCTGGGAGGTTTGCCTTGACGTGGCAGGTGGGCTAAAGTCTCTCATGGCCATTGGAGAAAGTAAATAACCTCATTTGCTTAGCATTCATGCTGTAACAATGAGATGTAAATTTAAGCAATATATGTTTATAAAAAGAATTCACCAAGAATAGTTTCTGAGATGCGTGACAATTTTTGTATAGGACATTGAATATGACATGAGCCTGACAGCCTTCATCCTGATACTACAATATTAACAGTTTCCATGCCAACACATCAGCCTCCACTAACCAATAACACAGTGTCAACAGTCTCCACGCTGATACTTTTACCGTATGCATTTCCCAAAACCTGCGTTATTCACTTTGACCTATCTTAGTTGAGTACCAGCAATTGAAATGGTCGTGCCTGCATTATCCATTTCATAACTCCCATGTGGCACATGCAAGGTTAAGGGGCCGTAAAGGAAGCTTTGCCTGGGCAGAGGTTAAACAATAACCCAGACATGTTCTGCTCTCTGTCTGCCTGCCCCCAGTCTCATAAGGATGTTTCTTCTAAGGATAAACTGCAATTAGCCCTTAATTACAGGTGCACCAAAGTCTGAGTATTGATACCATCCGGCTCAAGTTTACAGTGGGAGTGACTATCTAACAACAACAAAGGGCTGGTTGAGTGGATATCAAAATAAATTTTAAAAGCATAAAGTGTTCTGTGTAATGCAGATACAGTTTTCATTATGGGAACACTCCAAGCACCATAACCACTACACAGCGCTGTTGTTCCGGGAGTGCTCTGGTGCACCCCATCCCCAATGTAATTAGTCAAACACTTTTTGAACCAAGTGATCAGCAGGTATGTATTGTAGATACTAATTTTATTTTTTTTAAACAATCAGAAATCCTAGAAGTTTTAAATGTGGTTACTTTCTCTAAATTTAATACACATTTAATTTTACTATAATGGGCAGGGCAAGTGATAGCTGTTTAAACTGCATCAATGTTTACAGTATTTGATAGAATGCTACAATTACAAAATATATTTGTAATAATACCCCTGACATTCGACTTACCTGTGCCAGGGATATGCACCTAACCACATACCTCTGCCATAACTTCAGCTCTATTTATGATTGGTCAGAAACGGAAAGCTAATCGGGGTGTTTGGAAAATTTGTTGGAAAAAATTGAAAAAAATCTCGGTGTGGTCAGTCTAAGTTCTCTGATAATATATGCTCTATGCTTGGGTTATCCTGCATGCAGTTCTCTGCAGATAATACTTTATAATTATATTTGTAAAAAACAAATGCAGCAGCAATCAGACTGCCTTTATGAATGTGGACAAGGTTACTCTCATTGACCTCCTAACTCGATACAGGTTGTGTGGGTGACAAGTCCGTAGTTCTTCAAGACTAGAGGCTAGGCCACTGGCTTTGGCTTTAGTAAATTTAAAATCCAACTGCAGAACATAGGCTGAAATTGCCAAGCTGTGGTTAAGCTTCATTGCAGAATGTTTCTAAATTATCAAAATACATTTCAATTCAATACAGTTTTATGATTAGTGTATAAAATCCTTCATGTTCATGCATGTTCTGTTTTGACTTAACATTTTTATTTCATTTGGGCCTTAAATTGCATTCAGGTAAAACTTCATAAGATCAAATAGTGACAGAGCTTTCTTTATCTTCGCTGTAACTATAAAAGAGCATATGAGAGATTGCCATTGGATGCGAATACCACCTTACAACTTGATTGGACGATTTGGGAAGAAGATATTAGGCATCAATATCCTATTTAGTTCTTCCCCCCCCCCAGCCGGTCACTAAACACTGTTACATATTTTTATTGTTAATTCACTTCGCACCTCATTATGGTTGCGCAATAAGGCACTACCAATGGTAAAGTTATACTTATTATTGTACAATTTCTTTAAATTATTTATGACTTTTCCTTTTTAAATAGTATTGGATGATTAATAGTACCTATATATTTACCCCTTTTCCATTTAATTGATATAATATTATTATTGTTTGGTTTATTATGATAATTAAAATGTTCAATAAAACATTTGAAAAGGAAAATAGCACGTGAGAAAAAAAAACATTTAAACAAATGAGCTGATGTAATAGTTTTATAATGAAACTCAACACATCTGTTCATAATATAATATATACCTTTTTTCCCTTTTCTTTTTTTACTCGGGGTCATGTACGGCTTTAAAGAAATGCTCTTTTTGAGTTATTTGGATAATACACATTTTCTTTATATCTGGCCTCGCACAGAAAGGGCACATTCAAAAATCTGACTTCCTCCAAATCTGGCTCTCCAAGAGTTAATGGCAGATCGTTTGGTAAGGATGGCTTGGTAATTAATACATAAACACAGTCACGGAGCTAAACTAAAGCTTTGGAAGACTAATGCATGTTGTCTGGTGATAAAGATTATTTGCAAAACATCCCAAATTATCTCCAGAGATTTGGCTGAAGTATGAAAATGTCAAAAAGGAAAAGCAATTCAATTTTCTCTGTTTTTCTTGTTGGAGGTATAATGCGATCAGATTACTTAGCCTTGTACTTGGACTCTTCTGTACAAATGTGGCCAAATTCACTAAATATAAGAAAGATATTACATCTTTCACAATCTGCACAGATGTCTTATAACTTTTTGTTTAGGCTTGATGGGTCGTCACGCCTGAACACACGAAGTGTGCAATATCTGTGGCTTCCAGAAAAAGATTTAAAGGAATGCTATAGCATTAGGAATACACACATGTATTCCTAACTCAATAAAACCCTACTAACTATTGAGGTTTCATGCCCTCCCATCTGCAATAAAAAGATTTATCAACTTATAGCCCTTGCCGCACTGGTCTCCTTGCTGATGGTCCTGCCTCCTTGGCCTGGATCATAAATCTTGATGATCTCAGGAAATTCTAAGATTCCCCATAGTGAAGCATTGGGAGGCTTGTGCGCATGTTCAATGCGCCAATTAAGTGCTCATTTGATTGAGAACAGAGTCTGACACGGTTTTCACAGAAGACGTGCCTCTAGTGGTTGTCAGGAAGATATCCACTGGAGGTGTGTTAACCCTGCAATCATAACATTGCTGTATCTACTAAACAGCCGGGTTTTACCTTACAGGGTTAATACTAAAGGACCATTGTGACCAGACCACTTCATTAAAATGGGTGCTTTCAGTTGTCCTTTAGTTGCTGTAGATGGTATAGGGTGCTGTGGTCAAGTTACTTACTTACCCAACGAGCATTTATAATGTGATACTAGTGCTGCACTGTCCATCCGGGGCTAGAATTCTATTTCAGGAGCCTGATACTGAGAATTTTTAGATTACAGTTATGTGCAGAATATGACTGCTGGATGTATACGAATGTTGTGTGTGAATGCTGTGGAAAGAGTCTAGAAACAAAGTGTAGCGCGTGAATGGGGTGTGCAAGGTTTTAATAATGAGCGCAAGGCGGAGGGAATGTATATCCTCCAAAAATGATGCTCCTGCTAAGGAGCGATCAGAGCGTTCATGTGCTGAAAAAGGGAAAGTGAATTAATGTAGTTCCATTGTGAGACCTACTTGATAAAATTACATTTCTCTTCTGCAGTCCATGAGTTCTACATTGCAGAGCAGCACTTTACATGTACTGACCATCAGAATGAGCAGTGGAGGCTTGTCCAGTTTATACGTGGGGGAAAAAAGTTGCAGTAGTTTAAAAACACTCACTCTCTTATCCTCAAGGTGTGTTAAACATGCAGTCAGGGAGGATTCATCACCTTTCCAGATAAAGAGAATATCATCTATGTATCGGCAATAGGCTACCAGATTTGCACACAACCTATGATGTTCAAAAATATGTCTCTGTTCCCACAGAGACATAAACAAGTTGGCGTAACTCGGTGCGAATCTGGTGCCCATCGACATACCACACAATTGAAGATAAAAAGTATCTTTGTACCAAAAATAATTAGTTAGTATCCAGTGGATTCCTTTTAATATAAAGTCAATTTGAGCTGATGGAAATTTATCTGAAGTTTCTCAAAAGTACCTGGTTTCTTCACAGCCTCTGTCATGCGTGATAATTGTATACAAGTGTTTGTGTTGTGTCCAACTCTGTGTATTGTAGAGGTATGTTTGTGTTGTGTCCAGCTCTGTGTTTTGTATCTTTTGTTTTCAGCCGCCCCGTTTGTGGTGTGGTTACTTCTGTATAATACTCAGCTCTACGTATTTTATAGATCTCTTTATGTTGTGCCCAGCTTGTTTTTTCTTGTATGAGCATCTCTGTATTATACTCAGCTCTCTATATTGTATGAGTACCTCTATATTGTAGAGGGAGGAGAAAATTCTGGGGAGGAGTCTGGTGGCTCACCATGTTAAAACTTCACCAGCCGCCACTGAGAATGGGGTTGTGATATTTGTTGAGAAAACCATGGTGTATCTAGCAGCCCTAGATAACACATCATCTACTCTCTGTACTGGTTATCTTTAAAATAGTGAGTATGCTTGCAGACTCTTAAAGCCACACACAGGCTGGGCTCCAGCTATCTGAAAGGGCTGTCCCAAAGTGGCAATTCCAAACCGCAAATTAAGGACAACTGAGGGCATGAAGAGACCTGTTGGCAACAAGTGGTACTCGAGAATTATTCCCACTCTGCTCTAAACCTGTTGAACGCTCACCCCCTTCAGTCTTCAGTGATAATATGAAGAAGAATAGCCTGAAAACCCTTTCGTTCCACTAGTGTTTGAAAAACACCCATCAGAACACTTTAACTCCTTCACTCCCAGCCCCATGCATTCATCTAATTTTGTTTGTAATGGAAACAAAATTATTTTACATTAAAAGCAAATAGGTGCAAAATGGGCCAATTAGTGTACTGCTATATATATATATTTTTTTATATTTAGTAGTACACCAATACAAGCATTTGTTTCGCCACTTGATTCACGGATCATGTAAAAAAAGTGACCAACAGAGGAGCAGTAAAAAAAAATCTATAGATTTGTGTTGTGTATATTTAATAAATATATATAATTTTTTTTATTTTTTACTTTTTTCCCTTCTATTCCTTCTTTACACTCTGCTTACTTCTCACTTAATATGGGAATAAAATCAACATTTATTGGCTGTCTCTTAACCATAAATATTTCTTTCCACCGATCAATCGCTTATTTTGTTTTACGCCATGGATGGACAATACAACGGAGGCAAACCCATCACATGTTCTCTGCCACCAAGTCTCAAAATAAACCCACCGCACAAATATTACCTTCTGCCACCCTGTGTTAAAAGGCAATAGAGTAAAACCCACCGTATTCTGTGCATTCTCTCTGTCACCATATGTTAGAGGGCAAGACAAAGCTTGCAACCTGCTACAACGTATCACAATAGATTATAAACCGGCCAATAGGACAGGGGTAGGCAACCGTTGGCACTCCAGATGTTTTGCACTACGTCTCCCATAGTGCTCTTACAGCCATAATGCTGGCAAAGCATCATAGTAGGTGTAGTCCACAACATCTGGAGTGCCGAAGGTTGCCTACCCCTGCATTAGAGTATCTTCTCATTAATGGAAGTAAAAAGATAGGTGCATTTTTCTGCTAAACACTGAATGATCTGGAATCATGCAAAGTTTTTTTTCTAAATTAGTCACTAAAATGTCAATCCAGGTGATTCGTCTCTGAAAATACCATTAATGCGTCGTATATACTAGACGTTCCTCACAATGAAAATACCAACAGGTGGCTGTTTGGCCATGCTCTCTCCCCATGGAAGCTGTCTCTTCTCGCTTAGTTGCCTGTAGGTCCTTCCAGAGAGAAATCTCTTTCACCCATCATTCTGTCACAACATGGCGGTCTGATTTCTTGTGTTTTCAAACAATGGTGTTCCCTCACCAGGCCATGACAAAGATAACAGTTTGAGGGTCACTAGCATTCTGTCACATTCCAAGTTATCTGACAGCTCTGAGCTTTTGTTACGGTTTCATTACCTTCTGCAATACTTCTACACCTGACCAGGCGAAAGAGCAGCTGTTTGAAGAATCTGTTTTGCACCTCTTCTAGAGGAATGTGTGAGTGTTAAAAATCCACTCATGCACTAAAACCACCTACCAAACAGGCAGATTTCCTAATAACACAAACGTTTGAATTTTTTTTTTTTTTGGACTGGATAATTTGTTTTGCTAATAAACTATCATTAACATATATCAAAACTGAATATCATATTAACGTATTAAAAAAGTCAAGCAAATAAAATAATAGAAAAAAAATCCCTCACCTTTCAGCAGCCTGTATTTCTGCTTTAAATACCTATCCAGAAGAGGTTTAAGGGATTTGTAGTTAATTCAATAGCCACAGTTCCACTCATTTCAAAGGATAAGTGAATTTGCTCAATAATCTTATATCAGCCATTCAATAGCATAGTCACAAGAGACAGGCTTAGAACTGGAGCAGTTAATGCAAATGACTGCAGTTATAAGTCACTCTCGAATGGGCGATGGTGCAATATACTCTCTCTACACCAAAGTTTTTGCAATAATGCAAAGTTGTCTAATCTTGTCTAGTCTTGTTGTCTAGGTTTGAAAAAAAGACTAAAGTCTATCATGTTCAACTGTGAAGCCAATTTTATTTGCTGTTGATCCAAAAGAAGGCAAAAATATCATATCCCCTCTGAGGAACCTTTTTTCTAAAGAACACCAATACAGTTTTTCTAGTGTGTCCTCGTAACTAAGGTTTTCCATCCGTCTTACTACTTTTTGTAGCTTGCCTCTTTACTTTTTCTAGTTTTGCAATATCCTTTTTTAAAACTGGTGCCCACAATTATACCCCATATTCAAGGTGGAATCTGACCATTAAATTTGGAAAGAGGCAAAATTATATTTGGACCCCTCTTTATACACAATACCCCTTTTTATACACATACTGTTGCCTAATTTGTAATCTCTATAAATGTTCCCAAGTCCTTTTCAATTAATGTTTTCCTTACCTCAACCCCATTTAATGTATAAGTGGTTTGTGGGTTCCTTATTCCAAAATGCATGATTTTGCATTTATCTGTATTGAATCTCATCTGTCACTAGCCGGACCAGTCCCCCAATTTATTAAAATCCCTCTGTAGAGAAGTTCAAGTTCAGATTGTATTTTCTGATCTAGTTTTGTGTCATCTGCAAATACTGTCCATACGACTTTTAATGTCCACTTTATAAATAGATTAAAGAGAAGTTGACACAGGACAGAACCCTGAAGCACTCTTCTTGCCACTTTTGTCCAATTTGAAAAGTTTCCTTTTACAACTGCACTGTATTTTTAAGCCAGTATTCTATCCACGAATACAATTTTTAATCTAAACCAACTGATTTCAATTTTACAAGTAACCTTTTTGTGTGGAACTGTAGCAAATGCCTTGACAAAATCCAAGTAGACGACATCTACTGAAACAACCTGATTTTATATTTCTACTAATTTCATAGAATGCAGTTAAATTTGTTTGGCATTACCTGTGTTTCATAAAACCATGTTGATTCCTGCTATCTATATTTTTGATCAAATTTAATTATTTAATATTATCCCTTAACAGCCCTTAAAATAATTTCCCAACCACAGGTGCTAAACTCATGGGTCTGTAGTTTCTGGTTTGAGCCTTTGAATCTTTTTTAAATATATGCACCACATCTGCCTTTCTCCAATTCTCTGGTACAATTCCTAAAAGAAAAGGATCCTGAAATAAACAAAACAGTGGTATGGATATTTCTACATTAAGCTCCCTAAGCACATGTGGGTGAATACCATCTGGCTTTGGTGCTTTGTTTGCATTAACTTTATTTAATTTCTGAAGCACTTTATCCTGTGTTAACCAATCAATTGTAAAGTTAGTTATGTATATGGGTGGCATTTGGGGGCAATATTTTTCCTTGGATGCCAGAAGCTAAATGAGCCTGGGACAACCCTGGATCCAAGTAATAGTAAAATATAATCTCATTTAAAATGAACTATATTCATTATTAGAATTCTACCCAAACACATGCTTTATGAGCTTTGTTTAACAATTAATGCAAAAAATATAGAGTCCTTCCTGAGACTAGCTGACCAAATCCCATTGGGGGTATGTAGAGATGTGTAGTATGAACTATGCAATGGAAATGGGATATCAAAAGGCAGAGGGAAGTTATCTCTCATGTTTTAATTGGTGTTGAAGTTATCTTCTGCAGGTGAGGATTCTGGAACTGAGGCTATTGGCGCGGGGTGGAGGCACCATTTCACCCTTGGACCTAGACAGAACAAGATTTTGAAGCAGCCCAGGTAATCACTTACACTTTCTGTTGATGGTTATAGGTAACATTGTTACTGCCCATTTCATAGTTTTTTTGTTTTGTTCGTATATATCTTGATTTGTTGCAGAAATATTTTTGTTAGAGGGCCTGATATTGACTTATTGGGATTACGTACAAAAATACTCTGTTCTAAAAGGTGGTTCAAAGTACCATTCATTTGGTGACTGCTACTTTTTTCATATTTGCAACACTTTTCAGAGCAGACGTTTTTTTTGGTTAATTTAACACCATAGCCACCCTTTAAGCTTCCTGGTTTGACATTCGTGTTGTGTCTAAAGTTTCACAAAAAGATTAAATAAACATCCTCACAGGTATTTGATTTGGCCGTGGTTTGTTTAAATTTGCATCTTGAGACTTTTGAAATGGTTTACTTAAGAATTAATAGACATCTTTACATTGCATAGAATGAAAAGCACACAGCAGCGCAAATGCTAAGCTTTGTTTTAACGCATCAGTCACTACATGAAAAATACAGAAGTGTGTAATAGCTGTATATAACTACTGTAGGGATTATTCACTAAACTGCAAATGGTAGTGAAATAAAAATGGGACTGGAAAATTCAGGTTAAAATTGTTGATTTGGATAAATTCCAATATAGTCAGAACTATTTTAGCCAAAGTCTTGCAATTCAATTTGAACTAATGATAATTTGGTGTTTAGTGAATAAACCCCTGTTATTTACCAAAAGAAGAAAATGCACTATTGAATATAGCTTAGCTCATCCAGCCCTGATTGATTATGTCTAGGGTATTAACCACTTCCCTGCTAAGCGGTTTGCAGAAAAAACACCCCCAGTATTTTGGATGTCCTGTAAAGTAATGTTTCCTTTTGTAATTTCAGTATGCCTAGATAGGATATTATTTAATAAAAAAAAAAAAAAAAGTTAAATGTTTTTACAGAAAAATAATTTACCAATTAATGAGGCTAGGGCTACACATAGAACAATAGAGTTGAGAAATGTTATTTATTTACAATATATAACATAGACTTTTCCCTCACATATGCTCTAATCCTCTCACCTATACATTATCCAATATTCTCAGTTGTGTGTATACCGTCATGAGAAAAAGAAAGTACACACTCTTTGAATTCTATGGTTTTTACATATCCGGACATAATAGCAATCTGTTCCTTAGCAGGTCTTCAAATGAGGTAAATGCAAGCTCAGATGAACCACAACACATGACCTATTACACCATGTCTTTAGTTGTTTACAGGAACATTCCACTTCCCAAATGTGCCAAATAAAATCACTGTTTAGTTTAAATACCTCCAATGAATACATGCATGAATTTTTCATGCATATATTGATTGGTTGCATATCATGAGAACATGCAAAGGCTGCAGATCTTATAAACTGCAGCCTTACCAAGCCCATCTCCTTTCCCCCCAGAAGTGACTTTCAGTCTCTTCACGAGGAAATAGCCAAACATATGCCTCTCATTGAAAAGTTTCTGTATTGGTGCCCACAGGCATACGCCAGCACCAATGTGCGCATGTCTTGTCTGGAATCTGGAGGAGCTGATCTGAGGTCTGTTTGGAACTTTTGTGCCTGCCACTTCCATTAGCTCAGGGGAACTAACAGAAGGAGGCTGAAAAACTCCCTGGCTGCTTGATTGACAGCTAGGGGGAGTTCTCTAGTTAATTTATAAAAGTTCCGATTCCTCATAGAAATCTGCACTTTTATAAACTGGGGTTAAACAAGGCTACTCCTCACCCATGAAGTGCTTTTGGGGTGCGGAGTGGTCCTTTAACAAAAATAAAGGCAAAATGAAGAAGCCATGTGTGAAAAACTAAGTACTCCCTTACTGCTTCCACCTTACTGCCACTGATTAATTAATCATCAACAAGTGTGACCATATCTGTAAAAGCCAAAGTTTCAGCAGTTTGCTGGACTGGAGCATTCAGGTGTGACAGGAGGAAAGACATCAGCAATGATCTTAGATAAGCAATTGTTCCTGCCCATCAAACTGGGAAGAGTTATGAGGTAATTTCCAAACAATTTAGAGTCTATTATTCTACAGTGAGAACGATTATTCAAAAGTGGAAAACACTGAGGACAGTTGCCTATCTTCCCATGAGTGGACATCTCTGCAAATTTACCTCAAGGTCAGACCATGCAATACTCAAACAAATTGTAAAAAACAAACAAACAAGAATTACATCTCAGACTCTGCAGGCCTCAGTTAGCATGCTAATCTTAAAGTTCATGACAACTGAAAGACTAAACAAGTATGGTTTGTTTGGAAAGATTGCCAGGAGAGAGTCTCTTCTCTCTAAAAAGAACCATGGCAGCATGGCTTAGGTTTGCAAAGTTTCATCTGAACAAACCACAAGACTTTTGGAACAATATTTTTTGGACTTTACAAAATTAAACAGAGTGGAGGCCTAATATAGAATAAATCATGAGGGCAGTGACGGGGTTAACCCTGATTAGGAATACAAAGGAAAGAAATACTGTCCTAAATAGGGAATAATTAAAACTTACTATAGAAGGACAGCTGTCAATATGGTTGGCTATTAGGTTTATGCCAAAATAAAATGCTGTCTACAGGTGCCCTCGAAGGCACAGCTATACTTATAGGGAGATTTGTATCTTTCATTAGAAACTTTAATTCTGCATATACTAGAACTACACAGCATTTTTGTTTGGCATAAACCTAATGGCCAACCATACTGACAGCTGTCCTTCTATAGTAACTTATATCTCTAAGCTTTACATTGCTATCTGTCTCTAACGCTAACTAGCACTAATAGACTCTCCAGCATTGCCTACTATTCAGCCAACGCTTGGAATTAGTAGGCAGACCGGATAATATTCTTTTTGTTTAGCTATATTTATTTGACAGGCACCTTTACTGTGCATGCTGCTTGAATTTATGCTGGACAATTATCATTTAGGTTTCTGGTAACATATATGTATCTATGCTTTTTCAGTTGACACAGTTATTGCACAACGCAACATTTATTAGCTACTCTACTGTTACATTCTCTAGAGCAGTGTTTCCCATCCCAGTCCTCAAGGCACACCTACCAGTCCAGGATTTAGGGATTACCCAGTTGTGTCTAAGGTGTTTTTTACAAAGAAGAAAAAAAACACCTTAGACACAACTGGGTAATCCCTAAATCCTGGACTGGTAGGTGTGCCTTGAGGACTGGGTTGGGAAACACTGCTCTAGAGATCTAGTCCAGACGTATCTCTCAGCAATCATACCTCTATCTTTATAGCTAGGCATATTTACTCTTCTTGAGTCTGTCTACAGTGACATTTTCATTAATGTCAATCAGTTTAATATTGTTTTAGTTTCACGTATTATCTCTCTTTAATCCTTTTTTTTTATATTTGTTTTTTTTGAGTAATCTTCACTTTCTATAGTAACTATTTGTATTTATTTATTTTATCATGATTAATAGTTGTTTTAACTATTCCCTATTTAGGACAGTGTTTTTTCCTCTTTCCTTAATATTTTTTGGACAGACAAGACCAAAGTGATGATGTTTGTCCATAATACACAGCACCACATTTGACAAAAATCAAACACAGCATGTCAGCACAAACACCTCGTACCAACTGTCAAGCATGGTGGTGGAGGGGTGATGATCTAGGCTTGTTTTGCAGCCACATGACCTGGGATCATTGCAGCAATTGATACGACCACAAACTCCTCTGTCTACCAAAGTATTCTAGAGTCAAATGTGAGGCCATCTGTCCAACAGCTAAAGCTTGGCCGAAATTGGGTCATGCAACAGGACAATGATCCCAAGCACACCAGCATATCTACTGCAACAGAATGGCCCAGCCAAAGTCCAGACCTCAATCAGAAATGATGTGGTGGAACCTTAAGAGAGCTGTGCATAAACAAATGCCAGCAAACCTCATTGAACTTAAGCAAAATTGTAAAAAAGAATGGACTAAAATTCCTCCACAACAATATGAGAGGCTGATAAAGTAATTTATTTCTGTATGATTTTAAGTTATTGCTGCTAAAGGTGGCTTTACAAGCTATTGAATCATAAGGGAATTTAGTTTTTCACACAAGACTTCTCCATTTTGGCTTTATTTTTGTTAAATCATGACATGGTGTAATATGTCATGTGTTGTTGTTCATCTGAGCTTGTATTTACCTAATTTTGACAGGCTTAGGAACAAATTAATGTTATTCTATCCAGATATGTAAAACCATAGAATTCAAAGAGAATGTACTTTCTTTTTCCCATGACTGTACATTGCCCACTCATTTTTCACTCACTAATCACCTGGATGAAAAGACTTCTGAGTCCATGAATGCTTTTTTTTGTTGTAAAATGCAAATACATTGATCATCGGATTCAAATTAAGCACGTTGACCTGGAAATGTTGAACATTTAAAATGTCACTTTCATTACAATGATGATATGTCACCACACCACATGTGGATGTAAATTATACTTCTGTACCACATGTATTAGATTAAAGAAAATGTCAAATTAGGGTGTGTTCAGTGAATAATCCAGTAAATCCTTTGAACCCTAACGTGATAATTCAACCAGATATTGTGGACTGTAACCGCTGTCACTCTCAGCCAGACTTCACCACTCCAGTCCTATTCCCATGTAATCCTTATGCTACAGATCTATTAATACAATCATCTTCCTTAAAAGGACACTATAGTCACCCAGACCACGTCAGCTCAATGGTCTGGGTGCTAGGTCCCTCAGGTTTTAACCCTTCAGATGCAAACCTAGCAGTTTCAGAGAAACTGATATGTTTACATTTGGGGTTAATCCAGCCTCTAGTGGCTGTTTTATGGACAGCCACTAGAGGCGAATCTGCGACGCTGGAGGCATATTTCGCCTCCATCGCGCAGAGCGTCCATAGGAAAGCATTAAGAAATGCTTTCCTATGGACACTTTGAATGTGCGCGGCACATGCCGTGCATGTGCATTCGGCTCCGCTGATGTCGGACGGGGGAGCTGACGTCGGCGGGAGAGGAGAGGTCACCAGCACCGAGGGAGCCCGGCGCTGGATTAAGGTAAACTGCTGAAGGGGTTTTAATCCCTTCAGCGCCATGGGAGGGGGACCCTGAGGGTGGGGGCACCCCCAGGGCACTATTTGTTTTCCTGACACTATATAGTGATCCTTTAAGCTAACTACCTTAACCCTAACATTTTCCCAATCTAATTCTAACCTTCACATCAGCATAATTATCATTATTATTATAAATGACGTTGTCAATAATGAAGACATTTTAGCTTCAATTCATAGCACCAAAGACACACATCATGGTGCCAATAAAAAATAGTTTTTCATGACACTTGACTGTTTTAGTGTAATGATTTGTGAAATAACTGTAGTGTTAAAAGGGATATGTCTTTATGCATTTAATTCCACACTCCTATAAAAATGTGAATTATAATTAAAATCTAGGTATGTGGATTCTGTTCAAGTGTACGTGCCATGGTAACTGTGGTTTACTAGAAAGCACCAGGAAATGTGAATATTCTGATAGTGTTTTAGAATGAAATGATGGTATCGAACAGGAAACAGGAAACTGAATTCAGAGCGGGGCTGTGGAATTGATGTCTAAACAGATCCTTTATCTATAGCAACAATTCCCATCTGTTTCAAGATTCCATCACAGAACACAAGTTTCTCGGTTCCATTAACTTGGCTAATGGATCGCCATCCCCAAAGGCGTTGAAGAATATCTTCCTCTTGTTATTTCAAGTTTATTCCTAAAAGTCAAATGCACATAAAACAATAAGTTAATGGTGACAGCTAAATAAAGAATTTCATCCATTTGAAATGTTCAAAGAAACCTACTTCATGGATTCAACCCTCCAAAAATACATGCAAAGCTTTGATTTGGGGAAACAAACTTCCACAATAAACTTGTAGGCCACACAATGGTTTCAGAACGGATGAACAGCGGATGCAAGTGTGCTTTTAATCCCACACAGACTGAGGGAAAAGAACATTTAACACAAACAACTGAATATCAGTATTTCGGGAGGAAGATCACAGAAATAATATATTTTCTACATTCTCTTGGTTTTGCGATAATTACAGTACACCAGTATTTGTATTGTGTGGTTTTGCACATAAAACACATTCTGTTTTTTTGAAGATCACCAAAAAAACAAAAAACAAAACAAAACGAATACACTTCCAATCCTCTAGCCGCTAGCAACGTCAATGTACTCCATTTTAAATCAAGCAATGTGTGTGCAGGAAGGCAGAGGTGTGGCCATGTTAACTAAACAATGAATAATGAAAAATGTACATGATAGTTACAAAATGTAGGCCAAATTAGGCATGTTTTCATTATTTAGTTAATAACCCAATGTTTTAAGGGTGCAAACAGAAATGCAGCTTAAAAAAAGGTACAATAAAGAAATATTGTTTCAGTCACCCCATTGGTAATATATGTGATTTTTGATGATGCTCACTTTTCAATAAAACTATTCATTTCTGTTTGGAGACTGTCTTGTAACATAAACCTCACACACTGATCACCACTTGGTATGATAGATTTGCGTTTTGCTTGGAAAAAATTCAACTGGCATTTTAATGAAGAAGTGAGTGCTTGTTTTGTCATAGTTTGAGCATTGCTACGTGTAATCGCTTATGTTAATTTTGTTCCTCTCCGCATTCGACACCTGCAGGGAGGGGCTGCCCCCAAATTAGTTTGTTGAGTGTGTAGGCAGCTGTCTGTCTCTGTATCTTCATCCATGCTCGGAGCAGCTGCTTGAAGAACACACAGGCCAGACACACATTTTGATTTTAATTTCACTTTTCCTTAAGTATTTTTTCCACTGACTCATTTTTTTTTTCTGTTTGTCCCTTGAATCAATCAGATTACATAGTCACTTAGCAATTTCGCCTGGAATAAAATCCAGATCCACCAATTTTAACCTTTCGCACATCCATGTTAACATTGTTAATCCAAAAGAAGGCAAAAAATAAATAAATAAGATAAAAATCCCACAATAATGCATATTCCATATTTGCTTCAAAAAGTGCGGATTTTCTTCTTGACCCCAAAATGACAAATCCATTTCTCTGAGGTTACAGGCATTAATGATATCTTTCGTACTTTGCTAAAAATGTATCCAGATGAATTTTTAAAGACATTTGTTTACTCTGGAATATACGTAGACAGGATCCGTAGACTGGGAATTTATTCCTTGACTCTCGATGGATGATTCCGAAGAGCTTGTACAGTTCTGTTAATGAACAGATTACCAGAGGGCTCTTTGTATGACACGTACATTTGAAATGCTGCATTTGGAAAAGCTGGTTTTAAATGTGGCTATAAAATAGGACAATGTTGTAAAGACAGTACAAAACTAACATGACGCACAATAACACTGGTAACCAGGGTTTAGGGACTGGCCTGCCTTTCAGGTTTAGGACTGGGATTAGTTGAATTTAAGTGCATGTTTTGAATTCGTAACATCTGCCCCACAAAACAAAGTGTGTTGTACCTACCACATGGCTAAAGGTTTGTTGTTACAATTATTGAACCGAGTGGTTAAGTCATTGCGAACTAGAACTTGTTGACCTTTGTAAACAGTCATGTGAAGATTTATTTTCACCTGTAACTTAAAACCAAATTTCAAGTCATTGGATATTCCAGCAGAGCTATCCAACCATGCAAGACATGAACCTGCCAGGACTTTATTAATGTGTAAACCCTTTGAGGACGGAGGCAATTGTACCAGTTCAGACCAAAACAAGCCCTGGAATTTGTGCTATATGTCGTTCATCCACAATTTACCTCTTTCGTAATAAGTGCCCCCACATTTATAATATATAATTTTATTCAGGAGAAATAGGGCGTTCATTTCCCATCAAATATTTATATATGAAACATAATTTAATATGAATAAAATCTAAACCAAGTGTGAGAAATTAAGAAATTATTTTATTTTCCAAGTTCTGCATGGCATTTTAATCGTGAAAGTCATCACACTATGAGCGTTTACTGCAAAAAAATACGCATATTTGTATGCTATGATGACCCATGAGTACAATGCTGCCTTCCAGGTACAGGTGTTTTGGAAAGGTACAGGGTCAAATAAAGAGCTTGCCCATTTCAGTTTTTACACATTGAAATTTGCCAGATTGATTATGTTGCCATTGAGACTGTATGCCAGCCCAGGAATGAGAATTACCCCCATCATGGCATACCATCTGCAAAAGTATTCAAAATGGGGTATGTCTAGTCCCTTTTAGGAGCCACTTTTTTAAGAAGCCACAAATGACGGCCAAAATTAGTGTTCATATTTGTTTTTTTGCATTTTCCATTAAAAACAAAAAACGCACTTTCACTGATGATGATATTACTATTATATGTTCTACTGCTCAAAAGCACTTCTTCTGTAAGTAAACGGAGTCCATCACAAGAACACATGTTTGGCCTTTTTTGGGGCTGAAAACAGATAATTTTAGAAGAAAACATCAAATGGTAAGTTTTTTTTTTTTTTTTCAGGTACTTAGTTAAATGGTCCCCCCTCATTATTTTTAAGGTGAGGGGGGTAGGTAGGGGTTAATATTTTGGGGGGAGAGGGTGACAAGGGGTTTGGGGACCCCTAGTCACCCGGGGAGGGGGGGTTATTTTTTTATTTAGGGCCCCCACCCACCCACCGCTCAGGGGTGGGGGCAAAGGGGAAGGACATTAGGTCCCCCCTAATTAGTATTTTAGAGCCCCCACCCACCGCTCAGGGGTGGTGGCCAGGGGGAGGACATTAGGTCCTCCCCCCCTCATTCTAATTTAGGGCCCCCACCCACCGCTCAGTGGTCGGGGCCAGGGGGAGGACATTAGGTCCCCCCAATTAGTATGTAGGGCCCCCACCCACCGCTCAGGGGTGTGGGCCAGGGGGGAGGACTTTAGGTCCCCCCAATTAGTATTTAGGGCCCCCACCCACCGCTCAGGGGTGGGGGCCAGGAGGGAGGACATTAGGTCCCCCCCTAATTAGTATTTAGGGCCCACACCCTCCGCTCAGGGGTGGGGGCCAGGGGGGAGGACATTAGGTCCTCCCTTCAGGTTAGGAGGAGGAGGGGAAAGTTTTTTTTTTATAGACATGCCCCTACTCGCGGTATAGCGAGTAGGGGTATAATTTACTAATACTAAGTAATATTTACTTAGTATTAGTAAATTTGGCAGAAAGACCTATTCAGGTCTTTCAGCCTTTTAGTAGATAGCTCCCTAATACCGTGGGAATTAGGGAGTTATCTACTTATTCATTCCTGTCATTACACTGACTGGCCAAGTAACTTACATTTTATATGAATGTAAGTTACTTGATTGTTGTAATTGTTGCAAATGCTTACAACTGAATCCTGGCTATGTTTGTATGCTTTTTATTTAAAATTGTGTAACATTTTTCTTCTGTGTTTCGGGACTTTCGGCATTTAGGCAATTCGGAACTTCGGCAACTTCGGAACATCGGCACTTCGACAATTCGAATACTCGGAAGTACCCGAATGTCCGAATTTCCCGAAATTCGGCCGAATTCATATTCGGCCCGAAACGAATTGCACATGTCTAAAAATGCCATCCATAATAAGCACTGACTTCAAGCACTGCACAGAACTTATCGGTCAGTCTGGTTAGTCAGTAATAGTCTACTCAGAAAACTGGTACGTATCTAAAATTTACAGAATTGTACTAACCATTGAAAATCCTCTATAATTTGTAATAACCTTTCCCCCCCTTCAGTTAAACACACACATCATACCATATCAACCCATGGATATAAAAAAGAAGTTAATAATAGTATATACAGTAATACTAATAAAGCTACAGGAATTTAATAACACCGCTCATTATATAATAACTGTGCCACAAGAATTTTAAAATAGCACACATAACATTCTAATCATACCAAAGGATAATTAACGTGTGAATTTCCTTTCAATAATATTACATATTATATTCCTCTTATAATATTTTAAAATGCTACGGAATCTGTTGGCGCTATATAAATGGCAATAATAATACAGATATTTAATTTTGCAAGCAAGTCGATTCTATAAATATTTGCTAAGATGAAATTCTTACTGAAGGACATTAAAGTGTCATCACAAGCTTACTTTTCTCCTATTCTTTATTCTTCTCTCCCTCTTTCAGAATCTGTTCTTCTTTTATTGGTTTCTGATCTATTTCTCTTTGAAAACACAAGACAAAGTAGGGACTACGCTTGACACATCTTACCTTTTTCAGATAACATTTTCCCACAATACTTACATTTCATCTAGACGATCCGCTGTAGCCTTGCGAGATCACCTCTCTTCATTTCCAAATTCCGCAAATGCCCAGTACAACTGCCTTGGCTTACTGGCCATGCATATGCAGAGTTCCAGAGCATCACAGAGTGCTGGACATCCATACATCACCATATATGGTCATAGGGTGTCCATTAAGGACTCCACATGGCCATTGATGACTGATCTGCGTCAAGCATATGCGGGAATTGGAACTCTTTGCATGCCAAGGGTAGACAAGAGCAAATGTGAGTACATCACTGAAAGTAACTTGAAGATGGCCTCACCTTTAACCCCTTAAGGACACATGACATGTGTGACATGTCATGATTCCCTTTTATTCCAGAAGTTTGGTCCTTAAGGGGTTAAATAGGGTCTTGTGAAGTGGACCACGACTAACCTAAAAGTGATTTAGGGGGAAAATCTCAATATTAAATAGATTGGGAAGAAACTAAGGATTTGTAGATGGGAGACACAAAAAAATTGGGGTATGGCTGTAACAGAACTGCTTTAAAAACACACAATCAGTGACACACTCTGCTCTAAATCAATACTACAAAGTAAGTAATAAAAATAATCTTATTGATTTGACAGAGATAATGATTGCGTTGAATTCATTACATTAACTAGGGTCTCCTTTAGGTCAATCCACAAGTGGACTTATATCAAACATTCACACTTTATTTAGGGAGTCCAATACAGGAAAGGGAACCAGATATTTTTGTTTAAAAAAAAATAGCAACATTTTTCCCAATACACGCTTACACTGTTATATATCTTTTATAATATATAACATGATATTTTAAAATTGAAACCAATGCAAGACCCTGCCAGGCCTATTGGAAACAAATATAACATATTTTACTAAATGAAACGATTTGTAGTTGGGATTTAAAGTGAGTAGAGATGCAGCCAGACACTTGGGTTTAAATTGAGCCAAAATGTAGGCTCGCATGTGTGTTCTCT